AAAAAAAAAAAAAAAAAAAAAAAAGAAAAAAAGAAAAAAAAGAAAGTAAAGAACGAAAGAAGGAATAAATGATTATTGATCGTCTGTGATTTTGTCAAGTAAGTGAAATACGATCAATCGTATAAGTGCAGTGTTTGAATAAAATAATTTTTTCGGGAATAATAAAAAAAAGATAAAAAAAATAAGATGAATAGTGATACATATATATGAATAATATCAGTGTCAGGTGTTTTGAACGCGACTTAATGTTAAAACCGCTGTATATCTGTGATTTCCAAGTGTTTGTTGGAACCAAAAGAAAAAAAGGGAAAGAACGAAAAAAAAAAAAAAAGTTTCAAGTGCCAGTTTCCTAAATAAAAGATAAATGAATAAAAATTTAATTTGCATATAAAAGATCATCGTCTCTCGATTGTATACGGAAAATTTGAAGAATATCGATAGATCCGCGCATTCGATTCGTTTAATCCGGAAACTGGTTCCGCAAAATATGATTGACGCGTTCTGTGTTGTGATACGAATAAGACCATATGTTTCTCGGTCTCCTACGCGATTAAAATGGTGCTGCTTTTGTCCAAAGACTCCCCATTTTCGTTTTTTGTGGAATTCGGAACGTAGCTCAGAAATATCCCAATTGCAAAATCCATCTGTTATGGTAGGTGTTACATGACGACGTCGAAGTTACAAAGATTATTAAATATTTTAATATTTATATAATTTATTTTATATAATTTTCTTTTTCTTTTTTTCTTAGATAAATGTCTCTATTGTATTATAATATTTTACATATATTTTTTACGGAATTTTGAATAAATTTTCACGCTGCAAGAGTTGGTCTTACATAATGAAATTATAATAATCCATGAAACGAAATTTTCTAATACGGTTGAAAAAAACAGTTCGATAAGCACAAACGAACCATGAATACTGTATAATACACTTGCTAGTATTAGACAACCAAAAAGAAAGTTCCATTACAACGCCAAATCCATTGAATTTATTTCATGATGTATTCAAATGGAAAGAATCTTGCACAACGAATAATGGATAGTTTTTACGAAATCCATATCGTCGATGGTTCTCCAACACAAATTTATTTAAATTAAAAACGCATCGTTGTAACTTCAACGCGTCGATATCCTCTCCCAATAACAAAATCACATTCATTACTTTTTTTAAAATGTCGTTGGATTAATAAGTATCAAAACTAATCAAGTTTTGCAATATTGGTTTCTTAATGTTTGCAGTGATATTTTATCGATTACAGTGGAATCTCAAACGCTTGCCCCTTCTAACTGCATAACAATTATTGCAGACGGAGTGACAGAGGCGAATTCTAACCAACGATTTTTATTTATTTTTTATTTTAATAATAATTGCTTATCATTGATTGGCCCTCTGTCTCTAGGATTTGCGAATGTTACGTAAACTTTCGTTAAATGGCAAATTTAATATGATTACGTCATACTGATAACGCATGATTAGCTCAAAATAAATTTCCTTCGAGATTTCGCGAATTCTAATTCTTATTTCAATATTTCAATTAGATATGGTCATTTTAGTTCTATTTAACGATTATTTCACATCAGATATAATTGTCTTGTTTAGTTCTAGAAAATTTTTGCAATATTTTTTTAAAATTTTATATATTAATGCGAAGAAATTTGTAAAAAAATGGTACAAATTTATCGTAGAAATTGAATTTTCAAATCTTTGAATACTTATAGTAATATATCTTCTAAATTCTATTACGATCATTAAATTTACGTTCACTTTTAATCTTCTTTAAAAAAACAAAAGAACTTCAAAAATCTATTATCGAAAACCACGATTCAAAGAACATGGAAAGAATTTATTTTTCAAATCAAAAATTCTCATGTCTGTACCATTTTTCTTCGAGATTCTCTATGTAAAAAAAAGCAAGGATCCACAGAGAAACGATCGAACGATTCACGTGGATAAACACTTCTTCGAGAGTTTGCGTCACATTCGCAAAGTTGCATGCGTGAAACGAAAGGTCGTCGGTGGACGAACGAAAGGGACATTCCATCGAGCTATGAACAGTTTTATTCCATCGTATTCATGTAAATTCTCCTTCGTTTTCCACCGTGACCTCGCTGTCGCCGCGTTGTACGAGTATTTCCATTCATTCGTGCCAATCTCTCTAAGAACGAAGCACAGAAATCTCTTCTCCCGCTTCGTTTCTTATCTATTCGCTTCTCTCCTCTTTACGAGATGCGTTCTACATCTGGAAGAGGGTATCCCGATAAAGATTACCCGAACGTGTTCCAACCGGATCGAGACACGAATACGATATTATCTAGAATTTTGTTTTAAATTCAAAACCTCTTTGTGCCGTCGCGACTTCGTGCACGTTGTCGCAAAGTTAAACGTATTTTAAATTATTCGTTTCTCGCCGAGCGGACGAATGAAATGGTTCGAGGCACGTTTCACGGTTAGTGTTTCACTGGTTCAATATTTGCGATTCCATCACGAATGGGATTCGCAAGAACGCGGAATACTATTAACCCCTTAACCAAGTGAGACGAGTTGGCGAGCTGCTGCTGAAATATTTGCAAACGAATAGGAAGACGATTAAGAGATTCCATCTTTTAACTCGATTCGTTCCAATTGGTCAAGGATAGACGATTGGCATTCCGCGAGAAGACACCGAAAAAACGTATAGAATTGTGCCAAAATCGAAAATAAAGTTGAAAACGGAATATCTTGTTTGATGGTGGAACGAGAAAAAAAGTTTGGATCGGAATTGGTTTCATAATGCAAATGGAAATAATCTTTTTAGAACGATCAGAAAACTCGATATATTCCTGAATTAATATAATTGAAAACTTATATACTCATATTTTTATACAATTCAATTTTATGTCTATTTTTTATTATTATATTGTTACCAACCAATATATTTAGACAATTGTTGCATTTAGTATAATTATCTTTAAAGCAGCAGCTAATATTAATTATTATTAATTAATGAAACGATTACACAGTTTTTTAAATAAAAATTCTTCGAATAATATTATATAAAAAATTCCATATAAATTTCAATTCAAAAAAAAAACTGCATATTATCCATTAGTTTCATTTAATGTAACTTTAATCAAACTTTTTATTTCATTATTTCATATTATTTCATTAAAGCTTGGAAATCAATCAAGCAATACCGATCGATTAACCATCAAACAATTCCACTCGTCCGGATCGCGTTTATCTTTAGAAATTCGCCACGTTCAAGGGTAATGTTGCAAGAAAACCAGACTTAACCGAATCGATCGAACGCAAGTTAGACACAAAAGGAGCTGGAACTCTTCCAGTTCGTAGACCGACATCGAGCCGGTCCGGAATCGCGTTGATCTCGACTGTAAGGCTGTGATGGTAGTAAAAGATCGAGACGTAGCGAGATCGTCGATCTTGGCCCAGATGCCGGCTTCGAGACACGCGAGACACGGATTGGCGAAACGAAAAGAGTTAGAGAGAAAGAGAAAGAACCCTAAGGTGTTGCAGAAGAGAGAAAAAGACAAAAAGGGAACATAAGGAAAAAACCGTGTGTATGTGTCGTTTATACAGGTCGCCCGTAAATTGGCCATGGTTGAGGCCGATCTAGAACGTGCCGAGGAACGTGCCGAAGCTGGAGAGTCGTAAGCATCTGTTTTTCAAAGAAAAAAATCGAATACTCACACTCTTTTTTTGCATTAACATTGCCTTTTTTTCAAGCGTGCGTCAACGATCGCCAATTTGTTGTATCCTCTTATTTTTAGTTGTGTTTTATCACGTGTACGTACCCATAGGGTTGTGCACTTTATTATATGTATACACGCAAAGACATTGTTCATACGTGTTTATGATGATTAATGATATGTAATCACGCGTGAAAGTGTCTAACACATGTTAACTGGTTTGTTCGTTTGATTGTTGTCTCTTGATTTTTTTTTTTATTAGGAAGAGTTTTGAAGAGTTTTATCGATTGGAGGAAATTACAAGTCGATTCGTAATCAATTGCTATTAGCTTCACGGATCGATCATACATTTTGATCGAAATGTGTTGCTTTTAAAAGAGAAATCTCAGTATATAAATATATATATGTATATAAATCTCAGTATTTTAATAAAGATGAAAGAGGAGAATTTAAAGAATTTAAAAAATATAATAATTTTTGATATTTATATTTAAGATTTCTCTTTGAATTGATAAATCTAAGAGAATGGAAAGCAACAATTTAATTTGCAAATGTCATTATCTACTTATACTTTATACGATTTAATCGAATTCCATTCTCTCAGATAAAAAATTTTTTTTAAGAAAGTTTGAGCAAGATTTAAGTCACGATCAAGTAGCCTGGTGGACCAATGGAAAAGAGGAGGAGACTAGATAATTTGCATGCGTTTACGATATACTTTTTGTTTTCTTGTATTTTACTTGAATTTTCTTTCTATTTTTTTTTTGTTCGTCTCTTTTTCTTTTCTTTTTTTTTTTATTTTTTTTTAATCCTTATCATCCTTGCTTTCTCGCATGACACGTGTGGCTGTTGATCACAGGTCGCCAGAAAACTAGTCATGATGGAACAAGATCTCGAGCGCGCCGAAGAGAAGGCAGAACTTTCAGAAGGGTAAGTAGTTTGTGCATGTGTTATTTGTTCACTTTTTTTTTTATTTCTTTCCTTTAATTTAAGCCAACAAAAGCTTGTTTAATAAGGACGAATGTGCTGGTCGATAAGAAATCAATATAAAATTATAATTTATCATATAAAGTATTTCAAATTATTTTAATGAAAAATGAATAATTCCTTCCAAAGATATTTCGCGTACTTTGATACATTCTATAAAAATGAAAATTCTTTATTTTAAAATAAAGTTTAAATTTGAAATCGTTATAACACTTTAAAATTCAAAGAGAAATTTGTAAATTAATTTATCGAATTATTTCTTTCTTCTGTCATTTTCTTTAAAATATTGATATCCAGAAAAGAATAGAATTTTGTCTTTCAAACAATTTTAAAATTACCTGTATCGTACAATAATATTCGAACAATGACCAGCCATTCGTTCACGCTGAAGAAACACATTCTCAGGTAGGAATCTAATATAAACCTGGATTTGTAGTAAATGGTTCGTTCATTTTGCAGGAAGATCGTTGAGCTCGAGGAAGAATTACGCGTAGTTGGCAACAATCTGAAATCCCTCGAGGTCTCCGAAGAGAAGGTAAGTACCGCTAGAAACGAGTCACGACAAATATCTACGAAATATCGAATATATATATCTATTTCACTTTCTCCTTCTTTCAAATTCTTTCCACGTTCGAACTGCGATATACATTATATTTTCTATATTTTAATCGATATGTCTCATAATTTTTCATGTACTCGTACAAGTATTTGGATATTTTTTTTTTTACCGAGAAAATTAATTTTATTACAAATAAAAAAAGATCATTTTATTATTTATTATTACCAATAAATTTTTAAATAATTGTTATTTTTAGTTTGTCATTAATTTATATTTTAATTACTATAATATCCAAATGCTTATAAGCAATAGCGCGTTATTTAAATTTAAATATGTTTCGAATTAAATGACTTCAAATTCATTTTTCATTCCCAAAATAGATGTTATATAAAATTTATTTATTATTCAAATAATCGAAAAATGTTATGTCTATTAACATTTGAATCATTTCTATCGCGTAACAAAACCTCTGCTCCTTGGGAAAAATTACATCCTGTGGAAATTATTAGGGAACAAAGAAATCAGCGGAAAAACACATTCTCCGTGTAAAAGAAATATCACGCGATTTCACAGTAAATGAATAAATTCATTGTTTCGAGGTGCAGAGGTTTAATATCGTTTCAAAGAATTCAAAAGATAAAAGATAAAATATAATGCGATAAAAATACAAGAAAAAAAAAAAAAAAAAAGAAAACGTAATCGCGCGTCGATGGATCAAAAAATAAATTTCCATATTGAGATGCATAATGTTCACGTTACTGTATCATAGGCCAACCAGCGTGAAGAGGAGTACAAGAACCAAATTAAGACTCTTACCTCTCGCCTAAAGGAGGTACAAATCCTTTTTGAGAGTATTTTGCATCTAATTATTTTCTTTTTTTTTTACCAAAGTGTGATTTGTCGTCGCGAGTTTTACTAAATCATTAACTCATTCACGCTCATCCCTCTTTTTTCTTCATTTATGCTACTTTCTAATCTTAACCACCATTTTCTATTTTTTTTATTTTTTACTTACTCTTATTTTATTTTTCTTTTTTCATTTTTTTTACTTTTTTTTATTTTTTTTTTTTTTTTAATTTTGTAAAGCTAACATGAAGTCGTTTTTTTCTCTTTTTTTGCGCTTGACTAAAAATAGGCGACACAGAGAGAGGAGACTTTCGTGGGCCAGGTGAAGATATTGGATAGTCAATTGAAAGAGGTAAGTAAGACTCAAATCGAAGAAATGGGAAGATTCTCGAGGATTCTCGAGACGCAGGAGTTTAAACATCGCGAATTTTTGTAAATAGAGAAATTTAAAATCATATCGATCTATATTCTTATCTCATTTTCTTTTATCGAATTAGATAATTTTTAATTTCTTTTACATTGTATATATTAAATCCCTTTATTGCTACTTCTCTTGATTAGATGCACATTCCTCTTTTATTTTGCACACAACATTCTGCGCTTTACGAGCTCAGTTTATTTTTCGAAATTTTACATATTACGCATAAGTACGAACGAAACAATCAATTATAAATATCAATAATCAATTCTTCCCGATAAGCAACAAATGGCGAATTTGTATCGAGGTATGAATGTTTTCGATGTTCAGCCATTACTAAAAATAAAAAAAAGAATATTATTACAAGTAATAACGTGTGCAATTAACTAACAGTTTTTTTTTTTTACTAAATTTTTATTGAAATTAAGAAAATTTGAGCATGGAGTGAAATTTTACTAATAAAAACAAAATGACATTATCACGAATCCGTCGATTTTAAAAAAAACGTATAAAGAAAAATAAATAAATTTATCTCACTATATATTGTATTTTCCAATATATTGTATCGTGCTATTTGATAAATTTAATGCTACGATATATATGCGTAATACGTTTCTTTATAAATTATTGCTAATAACGCATGCACGGAAGTAGAGTTTTGTAGATAGACACGGAAAAATTTTAAAATCGACGACAAATCACGTGAAAGTGACATAACGCGAATAACTAATCCGTTTTTGTTATTATCACAGGCTGAAGCTCGTGCCGAGTTCGCGGAAAGATCGGTGCAGAAATTGCAGAAGGAGGTCGACAGGCTCGAAGGTGCGTATTCATCAGGCATTTATATTTTCGTTTCGCGTGATTATGGTCAATTTTTCGTTCTCGAGACTTTTACTTTCTCGAACGGCCCATTATATTCTTTCATCTCTACAAATAGCGTATGGAGAATTATTTTATTTTCCTGATACTTTAGTTGTATTACTTTCTAGCGTTAGAGATTACATTCTTTGTTAGAATAAGAGAGAGAGAACTACGAATCGGATACGTTAATAGTCGAAGGGAGCAGTGTAAGATAGTATAAATTATAGTCTTAATTATACTCGTGATAACTTGTTAGGGATTTATTAACCAATAACATTGCTTATTTCCAAATTGACTAAATATCCCAGTTTGTTTGAGTGCATTCAATAATTAATAGAAATGCAAACGACAGTCATTTGGAGTTTATGGATAGGAGAATTTAATAAAATATGATTTTATTTAATGAAAATCCCCGTTTTAAATATAATAATATTACTAGAAAAACAATAAAAAAAATAATTAAAAGAAGAAATAATCATTTTTCTATGATTATATTTGTGACTTGTTTTTCTAATTATATATTATACATATATAATAATATATTGAAAAATTTTGATTATAATTATAAACAATTTTATTAATGGATATACTTCATCTAATAAATCAAACGATCGATTTTTCTCCATCTACGAAATAATTATGCCTGTCGTATGCTCTAAAAAATAAGAAAGATATTATCACGTGTTTGCCGATTTTAATACTAACGTCGACGATGATGACGATCTAAAATAACAATGACGTAATATGGTCGTGTTTCGTCGTCTCGTGTGAAGTATGCATTTGCTCAATGATCGACATGTTTCCTTTCTAACCCTCTACAACCCCTTGAGCGTATTTCCATGATCGAGGAAATCGCTTCGCGTCCACTTTGTGTCTTAGTGTGCGTGTGCAGCCACCCTCTAACCGGTGATCTTTCCAGACGACCTTGCCGCCGAGAGAGAGAAAAACAAATTGCTGCAGGAGGAGATGGAGGCCACCCTGCATGACATCCAGAACATGTAGATCATGTCTCGCGGCTGATAGAAAGACGAGAGAGAGAAAGAGAGAGAGAGAAAAATAGATATAGATAACAAAAAAAAAGAAACAAAACAGAAACGTTCAAACAAAAGCATACGCTGATACTAGGAATATACGATTCCTTTGAAATTAAAGGAACAAACAGAAAAGTAAATAAATAAAGTAAAAACGCATGGAACACGTATTCGAAAGGGATGAGGGAATCGGAGAATGAAATGAATGAAATCGAATTAAACGTGGAAAGTTAAAAAAAAAAAAAAAAAAAAAAACAAGAGAAGGGGGAAATATGATAAAGGAAAAATATCGTTGAAAAAGTAAAGTACACGCTGTGCGATGTGAGCGCTTTTGTGTGTGGTGCACACTATCAACGAAACGATAAAAAAAGAAGAATGAACAAAAAAAAAAGAAAAAAAGTCTCATACAGTCTCTTTTAGGCTAGATTCACACATCTACCATTGTAAACGCCCATCTCAAACAAGCGCCCCGGTTATGCAATTCTTTTTTCGTGTGTGTATGTGTGTGATGCATGTGTGTTATATGCTGCTGTTGCTGTCGCTATTGTTGCGTGTATGTGTGTTTTGCGTGCGCGAGAAATCGAGGGAAACCAGACGACATATAGGTAGAAAAAAGAAGAAACAATGGATATTCCAGTATAAAGTGTAAAGTATAAAAAGATAGAGCGTGCGGTTTGTCAAAGGGATTTGAAGTTATTTCCCTTTTTTAATCCGTTCCTTTTCTTTTCTTTTTTTTTTGAAGTTTTTTGTACGTTTGTTGTCCAAACGACTGTTTTTTTTTTTTTTTTTTTTTTGAAATTTTTTGTACGTTTGTTGTCCAAACGACTGTTTTTTTTTTTTTTTTTCTTTTAACGCTACGTTTTAGTTTCAATCGATTTGGTCATTAACAAATGCTAATGATTTCTAATGCGATCCCTAAAACCGTTTCAACGAACGACAAATATTGTAAAGAAAGATCGTGAATAAAAGAATAGGAGACAAAGAATAATTAAAAACGGTAATCGATCAAAGTCTAATGGAATACATCGAGGAAGAATTTTCAATTCAATTCAGTCTGCCAAGTATTTTCTGCTAGTTACGTTCTGCCTATCGCGTATCGTGGTCTCGGGGAAAATTCGATCTTCTGCGGTTCACATCCGGTTCAATTCGGATCACAACTGATCCCTGATATTTATATCATTCTATATCTTGAATTAATATGTTTTGTCGAAAACATAATTCTTTTACATCATAGTTATTATTATTATTATTTTTAATGAAATTGAATTAATTAACTCTTTATTAGCATAAAATAAAATTAAGAAGTGAGATTTGTAATAAAATAATACAAATCAAAAGAATACAAATCTGCACTAAAATTAATGAAATATTTAATATCTGAGAATATCTTAGATATTAATAAAATTCAATGATAATCATAATTAAAGATTCCAATATAATATATTGGAACATTCTCATAAGGAATGTTTGACAGATTTGACTAAATAAGCAAATTCTTCCTCAACGTAGTACCACGTTGTCGATAAGAAAAAGATGAACAGAAAAAAATTGTTCGTCACTTTTCGTCATTTACATTCCATATTGCCTATGGTTCAGCGTGAAAAAAAATATTCTTGGTCTTCTTCCATGCTCGTTCGCGCACTGGTGATACAAAGGTTTAAAGGCTTTTAAGAGACGCTCACTGCCAGCCAAATGATTCCTTTTGAGGGATAAATTCGATATTAAACTTGTGTTCGCGCGTGATTCATTCAAAAAAAGACCATTATTATTGTAACTAGTTAAAATTTAGAATTTAGCGAGACAAGTCTTGTAGAAATGAGATCTATAGAAATTTTTTGTATTTTTGTATTTTATACTCGTAGAATTTTTAGCGTATACGATAAATAGATAACTTCAAAACTCAATAAGATCCAATAAAAAGAAGGAGATTCTTTGCGAATAATTAACAAGCGTAAAATAAAAATCTTCACTTTAAAGAAATTTATTCTACGTCTTGTAGAATTTTATTTTTTTCCAAAGCATCGCCTTCTTTTATTCTTTTTATCACGTGTTCCCAAGCACAACGCGATTAAAAATATGAAGAGATCATTCAGGGAAATGATCTCGATTATGAGATTCGATTTATACAAATGATAGTAGATATTGTAATCTCGAAATCTTCCTCGTCGCAAAAGGGGTGCATCTTGCAATTTTATGCAACAATTATTTGCAAGAAACGGATAAACGAGAGATACGTTCGAAAATCATGTGTTCTACTTCACGCTGAACCATTCGATATTTACCGATCGTGCCTGGATTAATTTGTTATATCATCGGTTATTATCTGGCCACTCGCAAATTTCGATTCATTAAATTAAAAAATGAAAAAAAAAGAAGGGAAAAAAGAAAAAGAAAGGGAAAATGGAATGAGAAAATTTCTATTTCGCATACTTCACGTTGCAATCGTTCATCTTTGCTGTTAATAAATACCATTGCTACATCCGTATTACGTTTTTACCCCTAATCCAAGGTATATTATCGTGATACCACGATAAATTTTTGAGGATCATGAAGAATACTGCCTATCTACGTATTTAATTCCTTTGGTTATTCTCGTTGTAGTTTTTCCGTG